AGTTAACTTTTCCAATTGCGAAAAGTGTAGTGCTAACTTGACACACGTGTCAATTCTGCGCTCGCAACGTTAAGTGGATAGTCACATGCGCGAGTGGCAGTGTTGTTGCCAATTCATTTATTTGCTTTCTTTTTTTTTTTTTTTTGTTGCGTTTTTGTGTCAAAAATGTTCGATTTCTTTCCACTTTATTAAATTTGATCGAGCAACTTGTTAATTATTTATTCAAATTGTTTAAACATATATGTATGTATGTATTTTAGCATTTTATTTCGCTTTCGATTCTAGAAGCACGAATTTGCCTGCCAGCCATGGTTCGCTGTGGGGAGTATAGGAAACTACAAACTTTGATGCGAAATTTAACACAATTAATCGACTATTTTATTTTCAAACCAAACGTGCAGAAATTTGTGCAGCCAGAAGAGAAATTTTCATTTTAATCATCTTTTCATATCTACCTACCTGAAGATTTTTACGTTCGTATGTGACCACGCAAACCTGATCACGATTTTTTTTTTAAAGCTAGTTAAAATTTTCTAAATTAATAAAACAATTTTTTTTTTTTTAATGTAGGTACTACTTAGTTTACTCTGTAACAAAAACTATATAAATGGAAGTTTAAAACTGTCATCAAATTTTCAAAAAAAAATTCATACTTTTTAATAAAAATGTTTGCAAAAATTTCGGAATGCCGTTTTAACTATAATAATGAGCAATTTTGAAGTGGCCCGAAAAATTATTCAATTCAATTAAATTCAATGTTTATTGAGTCTATGATTATAAAAACTCCTACAGACTAGAATGAAATTATTAGGTGAGGAAAACTACGCTACTGCCTATTGATAGAAAATTTTATATTTAACGGTTTTGAAATTTGATTAAGAGCAGAAAGGTTGAGAAAGAGAATGTTGGAGGAGGCTTACGAGCGAAACGGACCTAAGAAATACAGTGGATCGAAATACATGTGTTTTGGGGAGTGTTGCTGGAGTGACAGACCCGACATAGACCCGACTGTCGTGGAAATACTTGTCGGTAAGTGGGTCTGGTAAAAGTACACACCACTTTATTTTATGCATGCCGGTATTATTGAGGTTAAGCTCTGACATGGAGAGCTCTTACTGAACTTAATAAAATTTCAAAGCCATTAAACGAATATAAATTTTCCAATATTTCAATTGCGCGAATTTCCTGCCTTTTCAGGCAACATACCCGAAATCACCAGCGAAGGACGCTTTTGTATACATAAATGGTGCTCCGCGACCGCATCAGTGCTCATTAACATTGAGTGCACTTATTGACATTCGACCGGCCTTCCACTGCCAGCGTAGGCACTTAATTCATTACCAAAATGGCCAGTGAATGCAATTCAACTGCAATAGAGCAATTAAATACGAATTTGCGGATATAGCTTCACAAATAAATAAGTATGTACATAAACCCATCAAAAAAAGGAATAACAAATTCGAGCGTCCACTTCAAAAACCAGCCGATAAAACACGGAAATCAGATAGTCTAGACGAGTGATATACCATATGGAATGTTGGAAATGCTTGTGACGCACGACATGCAGAGACACTACCCAGTGCAGACACGCACAATGCACATAGGAGTAGCTATACGGAAGTAAACAACCCCCAAATGCAGGCATATGGAGGCAGCCGGCAGCAACAGTAGGGGCAGACAGCAGATAACTTACTCAGAACAATGAAAAGGCTGACCAGCAAGATGGAATAAATGTGCGCACGGCAGGCAAGCTAGGTAGGCGGGCAACCGGACAACCGGACAACCAGGCTAGGCAGCCAGCTGTGTGCGACCGAAACAAGTTGAGTGGAAATGCGGGCAGCGTAATAGGGGTGAGTCACGTGAGCTGGAGGGAGTAGATGACACGAAAGCGCAATATACTTAGGCAGGGAATTAGCGACGCAAACGACGCGGGAGTGGCGCTGTAAAAGAGATCGCGAATGTTTTTCGAACAATAACTGTGTGCGCAATTAATTAAATAGTGAAATATGTACACAATTGAAAAGAAAGTTAACTTATTTGAACGTTAAATTCAAAAATAGTCAACACTGTCTTTTATTATAAGAAACGTTAATTTGCATTAACGTAGAACACGTTTTGCGATGGAAGGAAAGAAAGCAAAAATATGGCCAAGAACGCGAAGGCAGGTAATAAAAACTTTAGACAGGCGACGCAGCATTAAACGCGTCAGAGACACTGTTAAATGGCAAGCAGCCAGCCACTTATGGCTCAGACGGCAAGCAGATTTACATAAAAGCCACATAACCAGTTTAGCCACAAATGAAGCGAACTAAAAGCCAATGAAAATATGTATATTTTTATGTACTATACATATACTTGCTGCTTAAAGCACACATGCAAAAATATTTTATAATTCTTAAGTATTGCAAAAAAAATACACAAGCGAAACCAAACGAAATTAAAAAAAAATCGAAGAAACGTAGAATGGGAAGCAGTGCCAACAAAGTCCTGCCCACGGGCCAAAAATGCTAATACCGGCATGCAAAACACATTACAGACCGGCAGAATACCCACGGCTATTCAAAAATCTAAAGAAATTTAAAACTCCATATTTGTTTGCCTAGCAAAGTTATTTTTTATTTCACAATACTTTTTTGTTGTTGACTTTTAGCTATTTTTTATATCTTTCGTGTTTCGTTTTATTTCCCTGTTTTTGTTTGTATCGATCTTTTGAATAAAGAACGTTCAAGTACCCTGCGGCCTGTACTCAGTTGCTGGCCATTCCTAGTTTGCAATACAAACTACCTTGTGCTGCCCGACTGACCAGCCTGACGCGTCTCGTCGTTTGTAGCCAATTAACGAACGTCGACGCCATAGCGTGGATAGCCAACAATTTGTGTCTCATAATTTAGTTGGTCTTATGGAGTGTCATTAAACGTAATTCTGTTTCTATAGCAAGAGAATGTGTTAAAAGTGATGAAAACCAATTTAAACTCAAATGTTTTATTTAAAATTTAAATTTTGTCAAATAAGTAGGAGCTTTGTAGGCAAGAAATGACCATTAACAATCAATTTATTATCATGCTATTAAACATTTTGGGGAAATTAAGAATCCGAGTTTGATGTTCCTTATTCCCTTTTTGGTTTTTGTTTCCAAACTAGAATAAATCCGGGCCTCCAACAAAAGCAACGCCTCCAAACCATACCAAGCTATGTCATACTTAGCATTTACAATTAGGTCTTAACAAAAAATGATTACACTCCTAAGTTTAAAAAATATATGTGTATGGGCCTCATGCATTAAAAGTGAGCCTAAGCTCAAACTCAGTTTTTGCGCTGATGAAGTGAGCTTAAGCTCGAGAATTTGTACTGAAAATCGAGTCGGAGCTTAAACTCACTTTTTATGCAAAACCCGTTAAGGATTTTATACGTTCGCAACAATTTTAAAACACTTCAAATACTCACCCAAAGTTGCGTTCCCCAACTCATCTTGTTGGCGCTTTCTGCTGCTTCCTCCGCCAGTTTTGCGATTAGTTCTCAACCCCAAGCAGTAAATCCACAAAAATGAATTTTAGATCCGAAATTTTGTTTGGTTGCTTTCGTTATTTTCTAACTCAGCGCTCTATGGAAAAGTACTTTATTAGTCTTAAACGAAAGAGTTTTGCAGGTCTTGAACACAATTTAAAAAAAAGTGTACTCATATATGTATGTATGTATGTACTTCTTACTCCTGGTTTTTTGGTGGGGTACAACACAACCGCCGACACAAAATGCAGGCGGGTTTAGGAGATATTTCAAATACACTCAGGTTTCTATATTGAAACGAAAAAAAAATGGTTATACAAAAGAAATGAAAAATTAATTTATGAAATGTACATGGTATAATTCCACCATGTGAAATGTAGGTATGCGTGTATAAAGAATGCGAGAATCAAGCAAGAGTACGACGAGCAGGTAGAACGCAATGGTCGGTGCGTTCAGGTAAGACCGGAAAGAAAATACATATGTATGTATGGATGTATCTAAAGCAAACTGGTAATAAAGCCGAAACTGAAATCCAATTCCAGAATTGCTCCTCACACATTCAAGTGTATGACGATGGTGGCGGTAGTGGTTGCGATTGAGGAGTTTATGCTGGTTTTTTTCCTACTGCAATCGCCCCGACGTCCACTTTGCGGACTACTTCTACTGCTGCAGCTCTTATACCATTGTTTTTTTTTTTATTATTCATGTGCAGCAATAGATTTGGTTGTTGTGGTTGTAATTCATTGCCTTGCACACATAAATTAGGTTCAAATACCAAGGAACTCGTGATAAATATAGTTTCAAAAGTGTAAGAAACGTAATAATGGGAAGTAACCAGATAGGCAGCTGATTGATTAAATAAGTAATATTAATCGGTTGTAAGCAGGTGGGAATAAAAACCAAGTTTAAATTTTTAGCAAGACATTTTTTTCCGAATCAAAATTATGTTTTGTCGACGATTTTCTATTTGTTTTTTAATTTTTCTTTTGCATGCTTTTCCCGATTTTCTTCGCACATTTTACGGCCTTGCTTTTATTTTTGATTTTCTGTCTTTTCGACATGAACTTATTCACTCCAAATTTGACATTTTTCGCGAACAGTTTTCACATAACAAATTTTTCGTAAACTGAAGGCATAAACGATAAATGGGAAATAATCTTATTGAATATTTTTTATGATTTTAAATTTTTCACTTTTGTTTTATAGCACTTCTCTGGTGCTCTTCACATTTATTTACTTTTCGTTTATTTGATTTTTCACTGCAGTTTGTAAGAAAATATGCACAAAAATGTAGCACGTTCCAATTTTTACACAGTTGTGGAACTTGAACAAAATCTAAAGACGCTGCTAGAAATATTTATATCACAAGATTTTCAGTTCTTTACTTCACAGATTTTCCATTGTCGCGTCTTCTAATAGCGCGAAATATCAATTTTTCCATTAAACAAGAATCCAATCGCGTTTAGAATAATTTGTAACTTATATCGAATGCAGTTGTGACAATTTCCTTTTCGGTACATTTCTTTTTTGTTGTACTTTGTACACCACATTCGCAGGTGTGCAATTGTATTTGTATATGGATGTGTGTGAATCACCCGTCTTCTACCACATTTTTTCATCAATTTTTCCACACATAAATTGCTTTTTAAGTCGAATTCGTCAATTTGCAGCCACCGCCCTTGTGAATTATCACTTAGCACTTACAAATTTTAAGCTCTATTTATGATTTAGCACTGTAAATTTTAGATACAATAATTTTATCTATGGAAATTTTTTCCCAATCACACAAAGAGCAACAACAATGACGCGGCGCTGCAAACAATTTGCCGCAGTCAAACCCCGTTTACCTGGAAATTCACTCGAAAACTGACTCGGATTTTGCTATCAGGTTTTCGCTTTTCGTCATAAACGAACAACACTGACAGACAGCGTTGCCGTTTGGCTACAATTGTGCCCAAAGTACCAAAGAAGGTGAATCTAAAACAAAGAACGTAAATTTACGTTCTTTGATTTCGGTCAGATTGGCTGAATAGAAATTTATACAAGGTGGCACCAATAGAGCAAAAACTAAAATTACAATGACAAATTATGCCCACAATGAAAGCTTGAATCATGAAGCTTGAATTACCACGAATGTACAACAAACACGTAAATTTGACTCCACCACGTATGAATATGCCTTGCATTGGCAAAGAACGTAAATCTAGATATACATACATAGATATATATATATAGAATAGAGTTACGTTCTTTGTTCTTATACATTTACGTTCTTTGCAAATATGCCATAAACTGTGTCACACGGCAACACTCGATCGATTTGACAGCGGACAGCGTTTTAGCAGAAATGAAAATTTGATAAAGTGCGATCATGATTCAATAATACAAGGTTCGATAAACTGACAGTTGTCTCTCTCGCACCGCTCCCTTAGCAGCGACACCGTGTTGCTTCTTTGCAAATTTACATGGAAACAGTGCAGCTTTGGTGTGAAATAAAAGTATAAGCTTTCGTGCAATATGTTTATTTGTATATGCATATAAAGCATATTTAACTTATGGAAACATAAGCATTGGATGTTTACATCAATCTCATAGTGCTCTTATTTTAATTTTGAGTAATTTTGCAGTTTTTATACAGCTAAATAGCACATAAATTACGCAATTCACGTAGATATATCAATATTACGTTTAAAATGCCAGATTTCGTGCAAATACATTAGAGTTTACAAAAGGAATTTCACTACTAATTGCCTACTTTTCTACTACCATTTTCGCAACAAGGGATTGCATTCTTGCCCTTTCTCTGTCCTTCGCAAATGCAACCTTTTGTAAGGGAGTGTCAAACCGCAGCTGTCAATAATTATCTAACCTTGTATTATTGAATCATGAAGTGCGATTAGACATGGCAGTGTACAAGCAAGTTGAAATTATTTCTAGAAAGCGATTTGCGTTTTCTGGTGCAACTTTTGCAATTTTTACGCTTGATCATAAACTTTCGCATTTATTTATTGTTCTGTTTTAATTTATTAAAGGTTCAACCTTTGAGCAGTATATAAAAGGAAATCTCGGATTTCGGCATTTCGGAGGGTTGTTAATTTTCCTTCACCGGCTTGCGGAATTTCGTTTGTATCCATACCCGATACATTTTAAGCATTCGACCCCTGTTGACTTGCAATCGTCGATCCACAATGCTTTGCTCTTCTACGAAACCAGCTTTACAAAAGAGTTCTCGTACCTCTTCCTGGGTAAAAAAGTAAACCATTGTACCATCACCACGCACGTAGAAGTTATCTTCCAAACATTTTCCGCTCTTGAAACGCAACTGCGCCATATCATAACGCCCGTAGTCACGGAAAAGCACCAAGCCGCCTGGTCGCAAGTAACGGAAGCAGTTATCAGCAATAAGTTTCATTTTTGCCGGCTCAATTGCAGATAGTACAAAAATTAGCACAATTATGTCCAATGAGTTTTCAGCAAAAGGAACTTGCCATTCTTCAAGGGTAGCGTCCATGACAAACACTTCGCATCGTTTGGAATCATATTCCTTGCTCGTGCGTAGTATTTCAATAGCGCGTGCAGAAAAATCACAGCCATAAACTTTTAAATTCGGCTCTTGGCTATATTTCAATATAGGTAATATAGTGTTTCCCACACCACAGCCCAATTCGAATATGCTTCTGGGTTCTTCCACTTTATCTGTCTGCGGCGCAGCAAGTTCTGTGAACTCCGTAAATAACCAATGACGGTCTTTGAAGAAACGGTTTTGATGCACTCCATAGAAAGAATCCCAAAATTTATCGGCATCGGTTTGAAATTTTTCCTTATCTTCCGCTTTCATTTTCTCAGTGGAATTTTTGCTTACCGCCGCAAGCGCTGCACGCTCCTGCTCGTCATCCCATTCCACATTGTCCCTGTGGATGGTTAAGAATAAGCGAATAATATGATTAGTAGTACGATAATTAAAAAGCTATACCAAGCATTAAATTCATATACATCACGTGGATTGTTTAAGAATCTACCACCAGCTGCTGGTTTCTTCCGATAGCGCGTGTGCTCCCACTCTGAGCACTGACGGCATTTCAAAGTAAAATTGTATGTAAACTTCAGATATTTACCAAGCATTGTGCTTAAAGACATCATTGTCATCAGTCAGGAAGCGATTTCCAAATTTTGGACGCTTATCTTCATCAGTGTCAGTCAGCTCCGCAGGATTATCCTCATTTCCCAATGTACTCATGTCAAATAAATAAGTAGACGTATTTTCCTCATGTTTACATATATGCGTTGACAGCTGCTGCTTCTTCTGATCAGAGAACGTAAACGTTCTCTGCTGACAGCTGCTGGAAGGAAGCAAACGGTGAATAGAACCGGAAATAGTTCTGTAATTTACATGTATTATTTAAGCTTCAAAGTGTTAATTGAATTAAATACTATTAGCCTTATTCCTAAAAAATAAAGTAGGTTTAAAGAGCTTTCATAAAATTACGTTTTACTACTTACTACTTTATTTTTCATTACTAATTATTTACATTACTAATTTATTTTTATTTCGATTAGCCGAAAAAGCAATGGCTAAATGGAAATTGTGTTGGAATTCCGTCAGTGCTTTTGAAGCTTCTTGCAAAGCTGTTGTTAAATGACATTCTGGCTGTAAATTAGTAACAGAAAACATGCAGCTGCTCACTTCTCGGAAGTCTTCAGAGTTTTTGTACGAAATCACTGGCCACAAAGGAATTACCTGCCTGATTCCTTCCGACTATCAATGCATGCAAATACATATACACATACATATGTATCTAAAGGAAACAATCGCGCCCAGGGATAGTTCCACATACCTGATTATATATGTATGTATGTATCTGCTCGTTAAAAGCAGTATCTGGAACATTTAATTTTGGTATATTCCTGGTATAAAAGAATGGAACTTCAAACATGTAGCAGCAGTATTCAGATCACTATCATTGAAAACGGTTGAATTTAAAAATTGTAACTCCAAAAACAGCAGGTAGTTTTCTTTAGTAAAATATGAGTTAAGTTTAAATCTTTGCGGGTATGACTTTGTTTTTTTTTTTTCTTTCAAAACAGCAATGGAAAAGTCAATTTTAGAACTGAATGATGAATGTTTACTGGCGATATTTGAAAAGATGGGAAGAGTTGCACAAGGGATGTGGTCACGCGTCTGCAAGCGATTTGCAAAAATCTACTGCGAATATTACATTCATAAACTTATCATACAAGGCTATGACGATACACTTTTAGATGACCGTTTCGTTCAAATTTTTGGTCACTTGATCGGAACAGAATTGTTTCCCTTGAAAGATATCAAATCGCTGAAATTCGATGAAACCTGTTCCATATATTACAACAAATTCTTCTTCAACATGCTGCGACACGATCATCCGAGTATCGAACGGATAGAACTATATGGATTTTTAGATAAAGACATAAACAATTTATTGCCACTGCCAAATGTTAAGCGCTTGCATTTCAAATACACTACAATAACTGGTAAGTTGCCCTTAAATATTTACTTTTTATGTGTAATGTTTAAATATTTTCACAATTCTATGTTCGTGCGTACGTTGCTGACACATCTGTGTATGCATTTTTGTAGGCAAACATTTAGATCGGCTGCAAACTCTGGAGGAATTAAAGATGGAAGGCGCATCCAGTTTTGAATCCAAACAATTGCTCGTCATTGCCAAAAACAATAGGCTGCGCAAACTGATAATACGCAATAGTCCAGTGGTATTTGCTCCAAAGCATGCACTAGAAATAGTAGGAAATCTTAAATATATTGAGGAACTGGAACTGAATTGGAATGAAATTCGACAGTACCAAGTTTTAGGAGCATTACCTCGATTAAAAGCGCTAGTCATTAATGATTTCAAAACATTTCAATGTCCCAAATGTAAAGAGTTCGATCGAGGCGTAATTACGCGACCTACCAATGCACACAACTTTGGTATGTGCAACTGCGGGCCATATGAGGCGAAGTTTCTATTCAGAGCGCTGGCAGAAAACAAAAAAATGGAGCAGCTCATATTCATTGGCTATCGATTGACAACGCGTGACCTCAAACACATTTCACAGCTGACAAGCTTGAAGATACTCTACTTGGCGGTAGATAACCTGCCTGTCTACATTTCTTTGGCTATGTTTAGCAAAATGCGGCACTTGGAGGTGCTTGATTTGGGATATTCCTGGAAACTGCCAAAAGATGCACTAGAACTATTGAAAAATTGTGAAAACCTGAAATTTGCAAATTTCGGCAATTGCGAAGGATTTAAAGATGATTTTATTTTAAAAGCTATAGACATAGTGAAGAGTAGAATACCGACTTCTGCGGAGCCAATAAGACTACAGCTTTTGAATGCAGATATTGAAAAAGAATTTCTAGAGGTAATTATAATACATAAAATGGCGGAAAAAAGCGACTGAGTTAATATGTTGATTGTTTTATTTTATTTGTTATTTTTATTTTTAGGAGGAACATGTCAAGGCTGCCGAATCTTGGATAACATTTTATTGTTATATGCAATCTGAGCAAAAAATTCGCCTCTGTCGTAATTATTATTATCTACTTGCTTGCTAAGTTAGCGCTGCGGAGGAAGAGCAACTTGGCAACAAACTGGTTAAGAGAGTGATATAGGTTATATCTTAGGTTTATCATTTTTAAAGCAGCTGTACACTTAAACAGTTTTGAGTTTGATTCTTGCATTGGTGATATGATGGCAAAATTTTCCTATTACTTGCAAAAGATGCAAAAAAACTTTTTGCAAGCAACACTATCGCTGCTGAAACGTATGTATGTATGTATGTACGTACATATTTTAATTTATATGTATTGAAAGTATTTTAGCAATAAATCACTCTGCTCCCCTTAGTTACACTAAAATTACGACAATACTCACATTTGTAATAGAATAAACATAACGTTTAGAACTTAGTACGTATTACGAGCATTTACGCTTTTAAACTGAAAAAAAAAAATTAAAAATTTCGAAAGTCTCAAGATTTATACAAAATATTATTTCGAGATTTCCCCATTTTTCACTTTTTAATTATTAGGTAATTATTAATTAGTGTTTTATCTTAAACTTGAAATTTATCAAACCTTGTGTAATATATACATAAGTACATACATATGTATGCACCTAGAATAGAGCTTCGAGCTTTCAACTTTGATATACATACATACAAACATATGTATTTAAGGTTGTCATCTATTTAATTTATTTTTGTTTGTAAGCGCAGTTATTATGCTGGACGATATACATGTAACTTCTTTAAGGTAGAGCAGAGAAAATTTACGATAAATGTTTTATACAATAAATAAAAAGTTCCATTATGTTTGTATAAGCAATGCAATACATATATTGCCATAAAAAAACACGATCTTAAAACAAATAGCCTAGGCTGCAAAACTTGCAAAACAAATGTCTTTTACTAAAAAAAAAATCTCATAAACTTTTATACACATATCCTTTTCTAGTGGCTTCTTTTAATAACTCGTATTTAGCTAAAAATAGATTTCTCAACTGATGCGCTTCAAATTCGCAATTCCTTTGCTTCTTTTAATTACACACAAAAGTGCAAAATTCATTCATGAGCAGCTACAACAAATACATTCGCTTCATACGCAAGAGTTGGACTCTCAATCTCCCAAACTTTTTGTGCTTTTTTCCTGTGCGCTTGCGCCAAACGGAAGTCTCCAAAAAGGAAATGGATGTATTGCGAATTGTGTAACAATAGTTAGTTGTCTCCTTTTCGTCCACGATACAACCAGTCTAGGCTGGTAGCAAAAATTCCAACACATTTTCGTGGTTGCGTACTTTCGAATATTCAGCGCGCACCCGAGCGACGTGGAGCTGTAGCCGAGCAAGGAAAATTTTTTCGCAGTTGGATAAAAATTTACCGTAAGTGAAAATGTGTTCTACGCATGAAAAATATATGGAAAATTAATTACTGTTCTTAAAAAAAGTGTAAAATACATAACGAAATATTAAAAACAAATCAAGTATTCGAGGATTTATAGAATACAGCACTGATTGTGTTGCCTACTAGTTTTTAATAGCGTAAATGCAGTTTTTTTTTCGCTAGCGAAAAAACTATTGAAGTGTTGAACCAGGTGTCACTAATGTAATGATGCGAAAAATTTCATTGATTTTTCTACGCTGGCAAACGTTGTGAAAATAGTGCAGAAAAAATAAATAATTTGCATTTGGACTACATTGCATCACTGAATATGCAAATATTTTTTTCTTTTATTCAATAATTATAATCTTAATTAAATTTTTTTATGCATAAATAATAGTATCAGTTTTACATACATTTATTCTTTAAAATTGTTTAAAATGCAATATTGCTATTCTTCTCTATTTCCCAAATAAAAAACGGCCAACATTGTAGTGTCAAGTTTCGCTTGTAAAACATAATTTTAATAAGGGCTGAATAGACTTCAACATCTAGTGAAAAAAAAAAATAAACGGAGGGCACATACGAAATTCTGCGAGTCATCCACTGAAAGGCAGGAAAGCAGCCGAAACATTTACGCGTAATCTCTGTATTCTTTCGAAGTTCGAATGCACAAAGCTGCCTAACTTCGAAAACAACCCTACGGCATACAATCAAAAACAAAAACAAAAAACACACAACCAACACCCCTGCTGCTGCAATTGTAGATATTTTGTGAGTGGTGAGTAAGAAACGTCAGTCAGTGGCCAGTCATACTTTGACCGCTTTAACATACTTACTTAGTCAAATCAAACTTATATTCAACGTTGTGCATTTTTTTCTTTCAAATTTCTCCCCTTGCTTGTATCACAGTTCCAACACGCCGTCAGTGCCAAGGAACGCATCTCGCATCTTTTACCGCTGTAGACAACACCTTGCCGCACCCTATCGCCCACACGCCTAGGAAGGAGCAGCAGCTTGAGCCACAGCCGCAGCAGCGCTATCGACAACAACTAATATTAAATTTTTCTGCTCAGTGTAACAGTGTACTCTGTGCTTTTAGTTCCGCAGTCGCCGAGCAAAGTATCGCAACAAAGCAAGGAATATGTAAGTGGCTGACATTATTGATTTTGCAAATCACTCTCGACTTTTTTTAGTGTGCTCCTTCGCTTTAGTTTAATTTCTTTGCAATTATTTACTTATAATTTTTCTTTTTACTGATTTGTACTTAAATTAACTCAACGATAAAAAGGATAGTGGCGTCCTTAATTAATCGCGGTACAAATAGCGATGCCCTTGTGGTGTGTCAACACCCACTCAACTAACTACTCAGTCGCTAGTTCTATTACCAAACAGTTAAGTGTAGTGGTATTTGATTGGTTCGTTTCTAGTGAATTCGGAAAATTGTCTAGTAGGGGTTTCTGCTCTTTTAACCCTTTGGAGACAAATAGAAATCAGTGAATGAAAATGTTAATTTACTACCAAAGAAAATTGTGTGACTAAGCGGGAGGCCCCGTCAACTTGAAACTCGGAAAAACTCGAATTTCGAATTTATCTTTCAAAGAAACTATTACAATTCGTTAAAAGTTTCAAAATATGCTTGGTATAGAGGTTTTCGGTTGGTCCGTCAAAGCGTGTTTTCTGTCGGGGTTTCGGTTCGGTTCAACGATTCGAGAATTAAAAAAAAAAAAACTATATTTGTGTTATTTTTATTCAGTAACAGTCAAACAAAATACATAAGAACATATCGATACCTGAGCGCAAGATCGATCTATCTCGGCAGCTAGTTTGAAACCGGCCTATCTCAGCACATTTTCAATGTATTTTCAGCTGAGATAGGGCGTTCTTGAACTAAATTCTGAGATAGGAGGTTCTTGAACAATTTTCTGAGATAAAATGCGGCGTAAATGGGACACATTCCCAATAAAGTTTTGTGGTCAGGACTTTTCCATAACCTCAAAAAACGTGTCCCTGATATGACATTCGCCATGTTGCTAACGTGATGGAAAAAAACTGACCTCGGCTTTGTATTCAGCGACCGCAAAACGCATAGTACGACTGTTTTTGGAGATTTTACATTTTTTTACATATTTTTATTTTTTTTTAATGGAGATGTGTTTTTTCCATCTTAAAAGCTAATTACTGTGGTCACACTTGAATTCTGGATAGTCCTCGCTTGGCGAAAAGGAGGGACCTACAGTTTTACGCCGACTCCGAACGGCGATTGTATTTTTATAAGAAGTTCATTTTCGAGGCAGAAATTCACTCGGAGGTTTGTGATTGCCTGCAGATGGGCGACCGTTATTAGAAAAACTTTTTTTTTGTTGTTTTTGATGTTAGTCGGAAGATGGGCTCTATCCCAGGTCCTGAGGAAGGGTACTGCGCACTTCTAACTACACCACAGCGGTGTAGCGGATATAACCCTCGATAAATGGTGCAAAAGAGAAATCTCTAGCAGAGAGCAGTGGACCCAGCTCGTTCTATATTTTCTCCAAGATTTCCAAAGCTTTCAATACATTTGGGGTATTCACAACGGTGTCGTAAATGTCGTATTGTTGTATGTCGTAATCTTTCAACGCCTAAAAAGTATATTTATTTTCGCAGTGTTAAAAAATAGTTGGTTGTGGTTTCAAATTCTCTAAACATTTATTTAAGCTTTTAAAGTTTACGACATACAACAATACGACACTTACGACACCCTTGTGTATCCCTCAATTGTTTTTGGACGGGGACAGTATAAAAGCTATAGCTAGCCAATATGTACTACTATTGAGTGAAGCGAACTCCAGTTCCAGTTTACCAAAAATTACCGGTCACGTACTAGTTTTTTGTTTCACCTTGTTAAGTGTGCATTAACCACCTACATACATCTACATATAGTAAACACTTATGAGTGATTGTATGTAGCGTTGCGAATCGATGCGACAGCCGGAAATCAATTAATGAACACCAAGGGACTATATTTATTAATTAATAATTAAGAGCCACTTTGCGGTGAACGATACTGCGAAATGCCAAAGTCTACATCGCTCTGGAGGAAAATTGTGTTGCTGTGAAAATACTTTTCGCAATATATTTTTTTTTGATATTTAATTTAATAATTTGGCACACGGCAACTTCTAATTCTACTGCGAACTTGGCAAAGTGTGTACATTGCACTATGTATTGATTAATTTCATCACAGCTCAAAGCGTAACAAGCGTATGATTCATTGGGAAAGTTGTGGCTGCACTGCTGGCATAAATGGCTGGTCAACAACTCTGATAGGTTTTCATCGCATTTTAGTGGTACTTTTGTATAGAATTGAAATTTTTTTTAATTTTCCAGCATGGGAAATAAGTAATGAACAAGGGTAGCTTAATAAAACGGGCATTAAACTACAAAGTGTAAGCACATTTTTTAGGGGCGAAATAATTGCAACTCAGGATGAAAGACCTTGATCTATATAGTAAAACTTCCAATTTTTTTGCAGTCTCAGGCAGGGTTGCCACTGACGAAATCAAATACTTACCATCTATTTAAAAAAAAACTACCAAATCTGGATAATATCTACCAAAAACTTTTTCAGTTATTTTAATAAAAACTATAGATTTGTTCTTTGTTTAGTTAGTTCAATAAAAAAATTTTAGTAAGTAATTTTTCTTTAACCAATGACATTGTATTTGAGGTCATATTAATGAAATCTTCTCGGTTTCCTTCAACTAAACACGAAACTTCATCATTTGAAAAAACTACAACTGGAGTTATTGTAGACAAATATAGGGACTAAAAAATCGTTTGGTAATTTTTTACAATGTTTTCCAGTTAAAAATTTTGTAATTTAATTTTTGAAAAAGAATATTGTTTGCGCTTTAACGAAAATTATAAAAATCAAGGATTAAAGCTATGCATATACCACATTTAGAAGAATTTAACAAATTAGCGCCAACATTTCGAACTTTTTCTCTGATTTTTTAAAACATTTTTGGGTTTACAGTTTTTAGTCCATTGAATTTAAATTTTTTTTTTGCCACCGGACTTTTGTGTCTTTTTTAATTTAGCAACTGCCATTTATAAAACCGGCGTTAATTTTTGTTAAACTTTTTTTGCAAACAATCATAATGTGTAATTACCTGCCTGTTCATTTTTTATTTTTATTTGAAGGATCATTTAAAATATTTAGGCAATCAAAAGCTCCTCAGGATTCCAGCAAAATGAGTTTTGAATAGAACACGATATGTTCGCCTTTTATCGAAAGCGTTAGAAAAATAATGCAATTAAGTAGACTATACTTTTAGAAAGAAATTTAAAATAAAAAGATAATTAGAAAAAATAAAGCGAGAACGAAAAGTTGTAAAGTTCAAGTAAAATACTTTAACAAAAATCTACCAACCCGAATTTTTTCTACCAATTTTGGTAATAATTTACCAAAGTGGCAACCCTAGTCTCAGGTCAAATTTGTTTTTTTATGGCCATATTAAATTTGCAATTTTTTGCCTAAGTGTTTTAAGAATAAGTGGGAAAAGTGTTAAAATTCATATCGGAGCGACATACACATGTAGTAAAATTTCACGAGGAAACATTTTGTGGAGCATTTTAGCCCATTAGCTCTCTTACGTAAGGGTCATTTTGACCCCTTTTTTGAAAATTTATGAATAAAATGGCATTTCGGGGGACTTTATAGGTTTAAATGTTCTAGAAAATTATTTGTCGGAGAATTTCACTTCGATTGAGTAAATGCAACTGTCAATTCTTGGCAAATTGAAAAGGCTTTCAATGAGTTGTGCGGCTGAGTGATTTTACTCAAACGAGTGAAAGCAGTCTCAATGATGGTACCACTTGTAGAGCACGAATAATATTGCTTGCTTTATGAAATTTGCTAAATTATAAAATCACGGTCATAAAAAAATAAATCGTTCTCGTACTTATGCATACGATCAAAAAGAAAAAAAAATCTTAACATTTATTTATGAAATAATTTTTATTTTCAAGCTTATCACATTTATTTAAAACTCTGTTACAATAATGGGCAAGAAAGACAAAAAGAAGGAAGAGTAAGTGGATAAATAAAATAAATTATACGATCAGTGTTCCATAAACATAGTTTGGGTATCGCTAAAAATTTAAAATTAATATGTAAACAAAATGGTAGGTAGGAAGTTTTGCTATATTATTCATTGCTTGAATTAAACAGCGTTTTTAATTCTTTTATTTGGTATTACTTTACACATTACGCTTTTGATAGATATCTGTCTTTATTTTTATTTTTTATTTTAATTTTGATTTGAATTTTTTTTAATATTAATTTATGCTCAAGTATAAGTATTTATGTGACATACAACATTATTGCCTTTACTCACTTGTATCATAAAAAATTTATAGGGCGGAACCAGCACCAGCAGCCGATGCTCCACCAGCCGATAACGCCGCTGGCGGTGAGGGCGGTGATGGTGAGATTGTCGGTGGACCGCGCAATCCTCAACAGATTGCTGCACAAAAGCGGTTACAACAGACGCAGGCACAAGTCGATGAGGTAAGTCAAAGGAAAATGGATTTCTAAAAAAAATTTCGAAATGAACTTTTCAAGAAACGAAAAAAAAAATCCATTAAATTTTTCACCAAAATATGAAGGCTCTAAAAGAAATAAATATAGTTTGCTATGTTTGCGTATCTTTATATTTTTACATACTTAAAAGCAGAGACTTCTGAGCGGTAAAATCTTTTTTTTTTTGAGAATTTTTCTGACAACCTTCCAAAGAATTTTTGGTCTCCGGAATACCGGAATATTTAGCTTTCAGACGAATCTCTTATATAACCAGCCCCAGATATTGAATTCTAATGATCCGGTCAAGAGAGCGTGGTTGCCAGAGTTGCCTGGTCTTCATCTGCAGAAATGAAAAAATGCTGATTATTTTCAAAAAGGAAAAATTGCATAGTTAGCATCGTTTTTTTCGCGTGCCTGCAATTTACTCCCTTTTATTCTGACCGATTTTTCTACTTCATTGATTTCGCAAGGTCGTCGATATAATGCGAACAAATGTGGAGAAGGTGCTTGAGAGAGATCAAAAGCTATCGGAATTGGATGATCGAGCTGATGCCTTACAGCAGGGTGCTTCGCAATTTGAGCAACAAGCTGGTAAACTAAAACGAAAATTTTGGTTGCAAAATTTGAAGGTACAGTGGGGCAAAATAAAAAAATTGCATTATAAATTAATTAAATATCAAATATTAACAATATATTTTCCACTCGTTCAACAGATGATGATTATTATGGGCATTATTGGACTAGTCGTTGTGGCCATTATTGCAAGTAAGTGTCCGAGTGCTATTTGGCAGAAAACCAATATTAGTAAAATGCATATAAATAATAAAAACAAAAATAATTTTTATTTTTTACTCTAATATTAAAACTGTCTTTAAAAAATAGACAAACGCACATACATACATATTTTTGTAGTGACTTTTGAATGATTAACTTTGCACAATTTCTTACAATTTTAAAACTTTTATATAAAAAAATTAGTTTTACATAGTAATACACACTTTATTTATAACGAAAATTTATTTTAAAAGTCTTTCGGATTTTTTAATAATTTTCAGCACACGTTTTTATTGTACTAAAAAAAAAATGTAATATAAAAATGTCTCTCTTTAGCTGTTTATATACAACTCCTTTATTTTCAAAATGAAATGCACACAAAACATTTGTCAACCAACATGCGCACTAAATTTTCAACAGCTCACATTTATCAACACAACATATTTTTTTTTTAATTTTTTTTTTTTTTTTGTAATTACCACATATTTGTATTTACTTTTTTTTATCTTACTTTTATAGGTAATTTTATGTAGAGTGCTAGCAAATATTTTTAAGCAAGCGAAAGAATTTATGTATGTATTACAAAAGCAAGCATTGAAAGCTCTTCGAAACTAAAATTCGTAGTTGAAATTGCAAAAGAGTACAATATTGTGTAAAATAAGACGTATTCGCACGCGTTCATAAGTGCTTAAGTGCAGCGCGCAATAAATATTAACGTAACAGACGCTATAATTGTGGTACCTAGCTACCTACATACATACATACATATGTACATGCATACCATGTATACTCAATAAATCAGTAGAGATTCATCAATCAACACTCACTCATCGGAGAAAGCAAATCGGAAGAAAATCCAAGCTTCATAAAATCAAATTGTCAATTAAGTAGAGTACTCATGTCAATCTCACCAAGGCACAAACGAATTGAAAACAAAAAACAACAAAAAAACAAACAACAATAAAAATATATATTGGAATTCAAAATTCTACCAAAGCTATTATTATCTGTTTTGTAAATAAATAATTGGAATTAGCTGAATTGATTGAGCGTGCGTCACCAAACCACCTTTTCATCACATCGAAAGTGCTTTGCAATCATTTCAAGTACAATTAATTGGCAGCTGCACCACAGGTTCGATATGAGCTGAGTAAAATTCTCGTTTGGCGGGGAGTATAAAACTCTCTCGCAAACGCTTTAGTAATGTGTAGTAGTAGCTTTTATTGTGCAATTGTGTTGTTGTCTTTGGACATTGTAATCACATTAACATTCACGTGGAATTCGAGTTCGCTTCGGCTTTAAGTACTCGCAAATATCCAAAGAATACGCATTCAGAATATCAAAGTCTTCCATGATTTATTTCATTTTTTTTTGAAGTTAAAAGCCCACATAAAGCATCCAATGGCTACTTACAAAAAATGTTAAATTAATTATTAACTATTCGTTTTCGTTGCTGTGTCAGCTTTGTGAACATTTTTTCACACGCATACAAAGCGAATTTTCGTGGCAGCAATGTAAATATTTGAAAATACGTTGCATACTTCTGAGCGTAAAAACTGAAGACTTAAGTAAAGAACTCGATCGCTGAATCTCAGCGCGAGATTCTTGTTAAATGATTTCTTCTTAGAAGCAAAAAAAAAGAAAAAAACAAATCTGAACGCGATTTTTGTGATTTTGACGAGACATTCGACATTTCATAGCAAAGTGTTTTAGCTCCAAGTGGTGTTGTTGAGAGTTCACGTTTGTGACGTTTGTTTGTTAGTTTAATTGTGTGTTTGTACGTTAATTTCCCCCTTGTGTGCGTTCACCTACATAATTGTGTGTAATTTTGAATTGAGCATTACTTTATTGTTATAGAATTATGTTAAAGATTTTTATTTATTATTTTTGATTGAATTTATCTACATACATTTATGATCGGTATGCAGATGAATGAAAAATTGTGAAAGGGGCAAATAATATCAAACTTTTTGATTATTCGCTATAAATACAATAAATTAAAAATATAATAGTTTCATCTGCATACTCAATATTTATTAATTTTATATTGCCTGATTTTTCGGCTTAAGAATTTTATTTTCAACTCTCGAACCGTTGATGTTTTTTTTTTTTGACAAAAATTTGTGAATAAAAGACAAGCTAGTGACACATATTTTTTTTATATCTAATATTTATTAAACAAAAATGTCTTGATACTCGAGCGGGAACGTTAAGATTTACTTCAGCTAGAATCAAGCCTGTCATTAATTTAAAGATAAATATTATATCTAGCATTTCTCGACGACTTGCAATTTTAGACAGATTAAAGAGCTTTAGACGACTAAGTAGTTTAAGTTAATTAAACCCTGAATCCCAGTTAAAATTTTGCAAAGCAAAAATTAAGAATTCCAAACTATCGATTTTTTTTTCTAATATTGGTCTAACTGAAGTTGTAAAAGGAGCTTTTGTAACATAAGGATCGCTGAATTCATTTTACCATCACTTTAAAAATGCAAATATGCCTGTAGCTTTATTGACAAAAGCTTTAATATGAAGGAGGAATTTCTGTTTGGAATTCATTGCGATACACAAATCGGCGAAAATGGGTACCAGTTCCTGATTGGGAATTGATACTGAACAAAAAGTTGAACTGACATTCGAGAGAAGCACATAACTACATTTTTTAAGGTTCAGTGGCAAAAAATTTTCATATCACCAACTAACGATGCTGCTTAGATCCGCTTGCAACAAATATCTTGCTGCGATAAATATTGAATTTGAATATTTTTTTACACATAAAATAAGAATATTTTCGAAACTAATGACAGGTAAAACAATTTTTTCAATTTTTTTTTTATCGATTGTTGCATATTTCTGCATAATTTTCTATTCATAGCGGGATTATTCATCCATAAAAAATATTGTCGAAAATTAAAATACAGGGTAATACAGGTTACAAAGAATCGTTTAGTGAAAGAGAGTTCTTAAGAACATTGTTCTGAAAATACCCATTGCTGCCAACCTCAAATTTCAGACTAAATATTGTAGTATATTTTCAAAGAAAGTGTGGATTTTTTGCTTACATACATACAAGAGATCAGTGGAAAGATAGATGCAATCTTTTTTAGCGCCCCATTTAAAACTTTCTATACTGACAGTTCCAGCACAAAAAATTGAAGGGGGAACGCCTCGCGTAACTTCAAACGCTTCGCTGCTTGAGGTTTAATGACAATGGGGTTGGACTCAGAGCGATTGGATGATAAGCGTACTTTTAGTCATAGTCAGCAATTTTGCAATAATATAAAAACGATTTTGACTAAAAAAAAAACTGTATATTTAACGGTTATTTTCGGTCCCTGTTATATAGGCCTCATTATATATTTATCTCGGCCTATACTCGTTTTTAAGTCAACCCAATCCATTGTTACAGGAGAAGAAGCTTCCCGCCTGAAATGGGCAGATCTTGAATATTTGCTTTTATGCCTACTTACTTAGTAATCCATGTACGCAAAAAAGCGTTGCAAAAGTTCAAGTCTTTTCTGACCAGTGCACAGTGGTTCAACATTAGCATTTGGTGTTCACATTTTATTGAAGCCTTAGTTTTTCACTCACTTTCATAAATTTTTTTTTAATGAAATCTAATAAAATTGTCAAAAGACTAGTTGAGCCGGATTCTTAAATTTTTGTTTGTTTGTATTAAATTGTTTAGTGCAAAAAGCATAAGAAGTAGAAAGAGTAGAAAAGGGATTAGTTTTAAAGAAAATCGAATCTCCTGTTCCAGTTAATAAATGTTACATAACAAAAACTTGTTGAAAACAAATAAAATAGAATAAAAAAATGATTGAAATGTTATAAAAAGATAAAATTTTTTTCGGTTTTGGTATGCAATTAAATAGTTCTTTAAATTTTAGTGCAAGTTGCAAGTGGCTAAGAGTTTGCGTTTAATTTGAATAATATAACAAACGCTTTTATTTCACATTTAGCATGCAGATGTGCTCAAAACGTTAGCGAAAAAAATTATTGCCAACTGCACTTTATTATACTAAAATTTAATGATCTATAAACTGCATACCCAACATTTTTCAAGAAACTAATTTTTTTTTTAATTTTGGTGAAAATTTTTTTTAAACATTTCAAATTTTTCTAGTGATTTTTTTCGGTTTGGGGTAACCCTACAATTTTTTTTCAACTAGTTTTTATTATAGCCGTCATCGATTGTTAGCTTTCATTAAGAAAATAAAATTAGTCAAATTGAGTAAAAAATTTTGGCTCCAGTGAATTGTGAACACAAAATGCCAATTTTGAAGCACTGTGCAGTGGTGGATTGTGACGATCAAATATTTTCCTATCTTCGATCGGCTATTCATTTTTAACTATTTTTTAAATTTATTAACTATTTTTTATGCATTTTTATTTGAATTTTTAATAATTTATTATTGGTTTTTATTAAAAGTTTTAAAAGTTGCTTTGCTATGAAAGGAATTTTTTTTAATTTAATTAATGATTTTTAAATTTGTATTTCGGAATTTTTGCTAAAACAACCGCTTTTGAACCCCCCATAATGTGAAAGCTACTAACCCCTAGAATGTTACAAATCTAGAATTTAATACTAAAATTCTTGTGGAAAACAAATACGTTGAAATGTTTTATAATTATTACAAAAAACACAAATTTGCACAACAAACTAAAACAAAAAATCATAGTTCAAATTTAAATCAGTTAAAAACAAACGAAAAAAGTTTAGTTAGTTTAACGATATCTAACAGTAGAAACTACGGTGATCAATCATAAAATGCCAAGGAAATTAAAGCTCATTTTCATGCAGATTTATTTTATTCATTTCACCCAAACATTAAAGTACATAATTACAAATAAAAATATTAAATACTGGTGTTTGTTCTCAAAATTGCAGAGAAAGACGAACATTAAAAATACATACGTATTAAAATTTATACCGATTTAAGAAATATGCAAAAAAATACACATCCAATTTTAAAAAAAAAAGGTAAAAAAATCATATAAATTATAAATTAAGAGAGTTCGAAACATTGAATAGGTTGCTAATGCCATAAAATTGCCAGAAGAACAAGCTTTATTTTGAGCTCATCAAAAGCTCTAATACATTTTGAGATCACTAACTCACTTAGCATTGCCACATTTTTATTTCAATACTCATTACTCACGCAACTTTAGCCGTAACTCGTTTTCACGGCATACCATACACACACACACACACACACACATCTAGCACTTGCTCAAAATTGGATATTCAAAAATTCAAATTGCACTTTTTCAACTTTTTTTTTTTTTGTTTTTACATAATTTTGCATTGTAGAAGCATGGGTAGTACCAGCCGTTTCTGCGGTAGATGAAACAGTTTCTGCACCATCACAACCCGAATACGTGCATACCGATCACAATAATAATAACATGAACAACTATGCTATTGACAAACACACAAAATCATCTAAAACACACAAAAAGCACGAACCCGAACATTCACGTACATCCACAGCATCTGAAAACGAAAAGGAACATGAAAATCAATCTGATAACGAATCTGAAAATCACTCATCGAAACACATGCACAAGCACGCACATGAAAACGAATCTGAAACGGAAATCGAGCACGAGCGCGAGCACGAGCGCGAGCACGACCATGAATCTGTACACGACAACGCCGCACCCGAACACACCATTCAAAGAACACCCACGCACGAAGAGGAAGAGGGTAATCCTCCGGATGCAGATGCTGTACACGAATAAATATTCGCACAACAAAATTCAAAATTTTCATAAAACGTAAAAATTACAAAGCAAACAAAAACGAATCAAAATTTTATAGCAAATTTCTACATTCGCAGTTGATTGAGCTTTCTTTCTAAAAATTTGTAAGCAATTATCAGCATTACATATCTGCATATTTATGGGCTTAAGTGTGCGTTGAATATTTCATTTATGTGTGTACCTATGTATTTTGCTTCATCCGATTGATTACGCAACTTCATCTCATCTCACAAAACTAAACGAGTCGCCGAACACTTCCAACAAATTCATAACATAAATATTTATCTACCGTATTTTCTAACAAGCACTTTGCATGGTATTAAGATTTTTTCGTGAAAGCTTCTGTATTTATTTTAGCTAAGCATTAGAGAATATTTCCAACAAAAAAACAGACATACAGGAATATGTAGGCCTTAATACACATTTGTGAAAATAACACAAGACTCACAAATGCATAAATAAAAATGAAGGAAACTAGCTTTAGATCTATTCCCCACTATAGGTTTACCTTACACTAACGCTAAGCTTGTTGCAAATAACAACCAGTTCTAAGGAAACCAAAAAACCATAAACAGTGACCAAAAATTTATACCAGACTCTCACTAACATCATTTGATCTTAGCTAGCTAAATATTGGCATATGTTTATGACCTCGCTACACAACCAGGGGGTACCTTGCGGTACTTAGATCAAGGACTAAGTTTTAGCTTGGTCTATTTACAGTAATTGGAAGTCTGAAACCCTTGGTACTTATACATAAAAAGTACCCTATAACTAAAATTCAAAATTCAAAACAATCAGTTTCGCTCAGGGTTGCTTTCTAAGTACAAAATTTCAACGATAGCACCGCCTAAATATTGGATGTTAGAAAATACCACAGTAGTCGGGTATTTTTTGGCGGTTTCATTTTAAACGCAGCGTGGCCACACCCTGTTATGTACCATATCCAAGCCTCGGTCCATAGGCACTCAATAGGTAGTTTTTCACAACTTCAGCGCTGTTTTTAAAGAACAAGATGGAGGATATATACGTCATCTCCAAGTGGACTCTTCGTTACGAGCATCTCCCTCCGTGGAAAAACGTTAAAGACTACCTAAGAATTCGTATGCCATCGGAGTTTGAGGAGAGGTTTAGAATTCATCCGGTTGCTCGCTAATACATTTAAAGAGGTGCAAGGAAGCTAAAAACCTAGGCTGCAAACCGATTTTAAACCTAGACAGTTTTGCAGTATTTTTTATTGAAATGTATACAAAGCCATAAGTGGTAATTTCGCTTCAGCGAAGCGCTTTTTAAGTCATAAGAATAAAATTAAACCATTACTTCATAGGTAGTCACTAACCGGTTCCTGTACCGGTACAAGGTTTTTTCAAGTTGTTCGATCTACCGAACCTAATCACACTTACTTTTGGAATGATTTGCAACCCTGTTCTAAACGAGCTTGGAAATGTCTGTTACAGCTTTCATTCGCTTATATTCATAAGAAGGATAGTCTATAAGCTACTAGATAGAGTTGTATTGAAAACGGTTATCGGCTAAGTGATTTTACCACTTTGATCTTAGCTATAAAATCAGAAGCAGAAGAAGCAGATCCGCTCGACTTTTTTGGAGATCAGATTTCAAATAAAGTGGACGNCGGCTAAGTGATTTTACCACTTTGATCTTAGCTATAAAATCAGAAGCAGATGAAGCAGATTCGCTCGACTTTTTTGGAGATCAGATTTCAAATAAAGTGGACGAAAAAAAAAAATCACGATTTAAAATTTATTAAGAGAAACGCATAAGCCAGTAAGATCTATTACACCAAAGGTGAATAAACAACCTAAAAGATTCATAACTCCCTATCGTGGCATCTCTAAGGCTTCGAGCACGAGCTTATGTTATTAGCGAGCTTAAAAGCCTCTTGAAAACATAGTGCGAGCATTTAAGTGCATACATCCGTTGAAAAAATTCCTAGTGTGCCGTGTTGGTTTGTTGGTTTTGTCAGCTCACTTAATCAGTAGGACAATGCAGGATTAGTTCCGAAGAGAATGCCTTTGAGGTACTATTTTTGTTATGAGAAATTTGAAGTACATTTAATTTGTCTATGACAAGTTAGTCTTTATCTGCCCAAAAATAATGCCGTGTTGGAAGACTATAACTTCACAAACCAACAACCACCTCGTGTGAAGTCGTCTTCTGAAGGAACCATTCTCGTTGTGTTTAAAGCCTGTTTAAAAGTAAAAACCAAAATGGATCATAAACACATTTTAAAGCAACCATATCCGACTGGGTATCCCTCATCTCTGCTGTAATCTCCCTGTATGCGCTAGGCCTAGGTGACTACTTAATCTTAGCTGAGAATTCGCAAAAAAACTCTCTGTATTTACCTGACAAATAAAATACTGATATGAAAGAAAAGGTTTTATAGGCTGCCATGCTTCCGGTATATAGAGATTGTAATTAGCCTTAAAATGAAACAAGTTAGAGATGGAACTACTATCAACTCCTTCCAAAATCTTGAACACGATACCTAACATAGGGTTTCAAGTTCATAAATATGCTGTGGTTGAAGTGATTCTTTAGGCGATAGAACATTGGATCGAAAAAAATAATACAATAACCCACTTTGCTAAAGTCTAATTTTGTCACCCCTTTGAGCCAACAAGCTGAATCTTAACGAACCGTTCTGAAAAAATGCGCATAAAATTAATTAGATAACTACTAAATCAAATATGTTATTCAAACCAGATAATACCCGAAACTCATCAGCAAAACCAACCTTTCAAAAGCCATTTCAACGGACCCTTAGCTTGGTACAGCACCACGATCTTGAAGAGTCACACTTGATGAATTGTTTTAAAAATCTTTTTACAGCTCGTTTGGCTCCATGCAATATTAATATTTTTAATATTCTCTTTTAGGCCCAGGACATTTTTCTTAAAAAAATTAGTACAGTTGTTATAATTCCAGAATCATTAGGTACTACTCATGCCCCCACAACATTTTTTAAAAATACCTTCCACAGATTAGAAGGAATGGATATGACACTCAGTATTTGATCGACGCCCCTGAAAAACAAAAAGCATATTTTTAGATATTGCCTAAGTAATGAATACCACAACTATCAATCAAATTATTCGATGAAAGTCGGCTCTAAATATCACGGCTTAGGCTACCCCGAAACACCATCATTGATCGGTCTCTACGTCTAAGGAAGTACTCCATTTTCACTCATTCAATTGCATCGTTCTCGTACATATACATATAAATCACAAAATATTGTCGTGAGCTCCAGTCATACATACATACTTCTTCACAGTGTGGTTGACCATACAACATTAAAGTAAAAGATAAAACTCATCAGTACAAATCATTTAAAATACTCATTCGTTTCTTTATTACAAACATATTTGTACGAGTATTAAGTATATGTATGGTAATGCATTTCGAGCACAATGTATTTTGCATATGTACATATGTATATGTAAATGTTCTCATATCGTACGTAATCGTATGTAATTTCTTAAATGTCATTTAAATTTAACGCATTTTAGCAAATATTTCAAAACAACAACAGAAAACTAATTTTTTTTCAATTTCTTATTTCGTATCGACAAACAGATAAACTAGGATTAATAGGCGGCGAAACACAGCCACAATATCCACAGTATCCACAATATATGCCACCACCACCGCCACCACCACAGGCACAAGCGCCAGCTGCTGGCACTTCATCATTGGACGACGACGGCGGCAGTGATGGCAACAAAGAGCAACATGGTGCAGTATAAAGCTTTTCTTCAAAACAACTAAGTTAAAGTGAAAAAACAAGCTAAACAAATAAATAAGAATTATAATCATTACATAGAATGGACAAAAAAAAACAAAAAAAAAAACAGAAGTAAAAGAAAAGAAGCAGAGAAAATCTACTGAGTACTAAAGAAGGGGGAAAACTGACTGACAGTTTTCAAAACAGGCCGACATTAACAGCAATGAGGGCGCAAAATTTCCTATNGCATTCTATTCTACGAAACCACTGCACGCTTGTTCAAGTTGCAAGTCCGTACATTTTAGAACTTCGTTTTAAATTTTAGGAGTCGGTGCACTACTATTTTCATGAACACAACTGTATATACAATGCATATAAGGAAATGTGGTTTGAGAAATGAATTTTATCGAATTGTTCAGGCAGCAGTGGATGGGCTTATGGGGTCGAAATTAATTTTGTTAAATAGCCTTTCGTGTGGAACACTTTATTATTATTATTATTATTATTTTATTTATTTATGATGGATATCATATTTTATTATTTCTTTTTTTTTTTAATTTAATTCTCGGTCTTTGCTCAATTGTTTCGAAAAGCAAGTTTTACGACCAGCTGATTGCTGCTTCATTAAATTTTAGTGGTTTTGAGGTTAGATGACCCCAAATTCAATAGTTCCCATCTGCTGCTGCACTGGCTGGACACCACTTATGCAACAACAAATACAGTCATACACCAAAAGAGCGACAAAAATATACTTTCAGCAATACAATTTCAATAGCAGAAAAATGCAAAAACTGGTCATACGAAATTAATTACAACTTCAACTTAATTAATAAACAAAACATTCAAACAATTACTAATATTTCAAAATATTGACATTTAAAAAATATTTGTTTATGGTTGCATTATTTGTGAGAAAGCCAAATATGACAAAACAAAAACATAAACAAAAATACGAGACCAAAACCAAAGAGGAACGGGCAGAGGGCAAAGGGCATAAATAAAACCAATGTTTAAACTATAACAAAAATAAATGGAAGTACTTGTGTTATTATTATAAAAAAAAAAAATCATAAAAACGAACAACAACAAAAAATGTGCTAGAAAAGCAGGAGGAATTAACATAACATGTGAAAAAAAAAACTAATGTGACGAGAAAATAAATAAATTTAGCAGAAAAATTTATGAATTTTTATATTTGTAATTGTTTCGGTATTCGAAAATTTGCTGCAATCAATATATTTATTATACATTGCTTGTATTTCGTTTACTTATAGCCACTTTTTACGAAAGCAATTTAAGTGAAAAATGATTTTATTTTTTTTTTTGAATTTCATATGCAAATTGACAGAAAATAAAAAATCATTTTCCATTTAAATTGCTGGTGAAACCGGCTGTTAATTACACATACATATTTTTTTTATTTAATTCTTTGAGTTGCATAGCGAAAATGTATTTAAGTAGAAAAACAAATAAATATAAGCAAGTTAATGTTAATAAAAAAGAACTTACATACATACATATATATGAGGCACATGTATGGGAATGTTAAATTTGTATTAGAATAAAAAATAAAAACGTGTTTTTGCTTGAAATGGCGTGCATAACTACATATATACATACTACTACATTAATGAAATATTATCATACTTAATCAGTATGAACGCCGATTTAATTAAATGCCAAAACTACAAACAAAAAATTTTGAAAAAAAACAAAAATAACACAGTGAAATTCTAAAATTTTCTTTTTCTTTTTTTTTTTTTGTTTCGAACTCATTTCTATATAGCAGTTTTATATACGTGCATATTTTTGGAATATAGTTATTTCCGATTTTCAAAATTTAAAAAATATACGTATAATACAAATAATAAATTTAAATTGTTATTTAGCATTATTAATAATAGTTTCAGAATTTCAACGATTATTTTAAGTAAAAATAAAAGCAAAAAATAAAATAAAAATTAATGAAACAAAAAAAATCCAGATTGGCGTGGCAATGTCTGCATTAAATGCCACACCGCTTCGTGCATTGCCATCTGCCAATCTGCGTCATTCTCGAAAAATATGTGAATGCTATTCTTTGTTTTCGTAAATTTTGTGTAAGCTAAAGACATTTTAAAATAGTGGTATTAAACTTAACTTAAACTGCAGAGACCCGCGTAAATCGCATAAGTTTGTAGTCTCTGACTGAACTGTCGAAATTTCTACAGAATATACTTTCCGATTTTCGGGGATTTCGAGTTTAAAGGGTCACTTAAATATATTTATTCTATGTATACTTACAATCCTTCAATATGTAGATGAACTTTTATGTTGTACCGATTTTCGCGTCACTTCGCATTGAAAGTGAATTTGTCAAAAATTTGACATGTTTTGACAATTTTGACATATTTTGCATAAAATTGTCAAAATTTAAACACATCGAAGGTAAGCACACTGGAAGATGTTTTTGTTAATTAAGTAATTTTTTAACAAAAAATCTGCATGTCAGTGTCAAAATTTTGACATTTTCATACTTACTTTAAGAGCTTTTTTCTTTGTTTGAGAAAATTATTCCCTCTTCTATGTACTGCTGACTTAAGCGTCATTTTTTTCTCATAAGCGCTTAAAGCTAGTTTGTCAAAGTTTTGACATTTTTTGACAACTTTGTCATATGATGCATAAATTTGTCAAAATCGTAAAAATACAAAATGAGCGTATGTATATCTTGAATAATGTCATTTTTCAACAACAAAAAAATTACGCGATTCTGTCAAAATTTTGACATGTTTTGACGAGGTCGACATTCTTTCTTAATTAAAAAAGTTATGCACTTTTCTATGTACTTAGTACTATTGTGAATGCTATATTTTGGCTAAACGCTTTGAAATCATTTTGTCAAACTTTTGCATGCTTCCACAATTTTGACATACTTTCTATGTATCAATTTGACATAATTGTAGCACATCGAAGGTAAGCACTATAGTGGATGAATTTTATAATTAATGTAATTTGTCTATAAAAAATTTACAGCAGTGTCAAAATTTTGACGAGTTTTGACAAAACTGACATTATTACAAAACTACAATGCAAAAATCCAACTTAATTTTCACCTTATAAATTATTATGTTCTGTCATGAAAAATTTAATCAAACTGTTAAAATTTTGACATGTTTGAGAAGAATTCAAAAATCATCTTAAAATGTGGCACAAGGAAAGTCAGCATCATATTTGCGTCGACCTTTAAAAATTTTTGTTTTTTTGTTCTTTACTGCCTCTATAAAAATATGCGAATATGTATGTATATGTATGTAGATTGTATGCTAATTAATAGATATTTGTTTATATATATATATGTATATATATGTATGTAATTGAATTGAAGTTCGACCTTTAGGGAAATTCTATATACATATATTTGAGGGAATTAAACTTGTACCAAATAAACATTTCCAAGCGATTCATGACGATCCTATTTAGAAAAAAAGTTTAATAAATTATTATGTGAAACAAAATATACATATGTACATATGTAAGTATGTATGAAAAGGCCTTCATTCTTTGAAAACATAAAGTTTCCAACATTTAAATATACATATATGTATGGGCTTTGAAGTCGAAAAATAATTCGAAACATTTTTCACTTAATATGCACTCGTACGCCAAAGTCCATTAATTCAATTTGCAAATATTCCCGAATCTGCTTTAACGACATTATTTGAGATCGTAGCTAGCTTGGCCAGTGTAGCCAGCCACTGTGTTTTGTGTGAAGGTTTTTTGTATTCAGTGTAGGTACATACTTTCAAGTATATCTCGCATAAATATTTATGTAGATGAATTTCATAGATGTGGCACTAGAATTTTTGAAATAATATTTAAATATATAAATGTTAGTAATTTTAGTTACATAATTATGTAACTATTCAAGTAATGCTCGTACTTAACAACAATCATCCTGGACTTGAACTAATCCTGAGCTGAAAAGCTTTTCGTATCCTACTACATTTTAAAAGAGCTTTCAGCAATTTCCCAATCACGAAATTAATTTCTTCAGGCTTCTGCTTCATTTCTTCCAGTTTAGACTGCAAAAGTATGCAGTTGTAGGCAAGTTTTTTACTTTCCGCATGAGTAAAAAAAAAAAAATCTCGACTAAAACCAATTCAACTACATAAATCCTAATGAAATGAAGTTGTAGCAGAAATGATTGAACGACAACTGATTAACGGCAGACGCAAAGTTTTTCTCAAAACAAATACTTATAACAAAAATCGAAATTAAATTAAAACATGTTGTAAAGGGTATAATTAGTAGCAGCAGTAAAGAACAAAACTATATAATAATAATAGTAGTAATATGTAATAATAAATCGTCAAAATTCCAAGGCAAAAATAAATAAATAAAAAAAAACTCATGAATTATAGTACATAAATGATACTGAGAACGATTCCACAAAATTTCAAATGGATAAAAAGGATATAAAATGCATGCCCTGTGTATGAAAGTACATATGTACACATATGAATATGAATACTTATATATAAACGATAATAATATTAATTAATTTAATGATTAATTGCACCCAAATACATGAATATTTAAATAAATAAATAAATCTACAAAAAAAAAATTTAAAAACAAAATGAGTTTCAATTCAATTGATTTTATATTTCGATAACGGATGTGTCTCTAGAGCAAGAACTCTTGGCAATCGACTAATCAAAAAATAGTCGACTTCATTTAATCGACTAACCGTTTCCTTTCGACTTTTCCAACTAACTCCTTGCTTTCGATTTTTCGACTAGTTGTTTTCTTTCGATAAACATTTTTTTTTTTATATTTCTTGAAAACTTATGCTTATTGACAAGAAACAACTGCGTTTCTGAACTAATTTTATTATTAACAACGAAAAAATTTCGGCTGGTCAATTAGACTGACAACCGATGGTGAGCGGTTAGTCCA